CGCCAATGCAGATAAGACATGAGATCTATAGATTAATGTGCAAACGTTGCGGCCAACAGCCGATGGCCAAATTTGGGTGTGTCTAATTAATATGTATTTGAATTACAACAACAATTAGCATGATTTATCGAGAGATATGAAGGCGGTGAAATGGCCGCATAAATATATTCATAAATTGGTCAATTAATATGGCTAAAATTACAGCAAGCTGTGAGTTTTCAAATATATATTTATATATATACATTTATGAATTATTGAACCACTAGAAAAGGTTTAAAAATATTCAAAGAGAAATGCTATGCGTGATCTTTTGAAAAGCGTAGACCTTACATGATGTAAGCGATGCGTTATAGAAAAAGCAGCACACAAAATTAAATCATTGAATAATTTAACTAATGGAAAAACACCTCATTCACCTTTTTTAAGCTGCAACTTGGCTACATAATTACATAAAAATTATATAAAATTTAAGTTAGAATAAATAGTAGCTAAAAAATATTACAAAACAAATATAATGAAATAAAGTAACGACAAACCAAAAACTGTTATATACTATATTTCGAATAAAATATAGTAGTTTCTTTTTGTTTTGTTCGTCTATTTGTAATTAATTAAAATTTTTAATTTAATTTTAAAGCAACGAAACTACGTTAAAAACAAAATAAGACAAACAATAAATTACTATAAAAAGAAACTAATCTCTAAAGCTTATTCTAATTTGTCAAACTTCCATAAATAGATATTTTCAATTAATTAATTAAAATATTCAGATAAAGAAACACAACAAATAGTTTGTAGTGAAACATTAGAAAAAATAATCAAATAAATAAAAAAAATCAAAAAATTATATAAAACCAAAAATCAAACCAAAAAAAATAAAATAAAACAAAACAAACCTAAAAATACATTTAAAAAATAAAACTGAACTTAAGAGTGGCATTTCAATATTTATTTTTTTAAATTATTTTAATGAATTATTTAATCATTAACTATACAAATTTTTATTACAGATCGAATTTGAATATAAAGATACACAAATGTTAATTTTTAAACCTTTACAAATATAATATTTTTGATGAGATCTAAAAGTCTGTTTAATATCAGAAGTTTATTTCGCACGTAATTTCAACCAAGTTTCCCATATAACTGAGCTGTGGCGTCTGCTGCACCCATGCACTTGCTGTGCCCCACTGCTTAACCTACTTAACACCATTTTATAGCCTTCACACTCACCTCTTTGTCAAGGACGTTGCAACGCCAACGTTGTTGCCGCGTTTCTGTTTGCTATTGGCCACTTGGGCTTTCAACAGCTCTGTGGCAGCTTCTTGGTTGCACTTCTTTTGGACAGCTCCTTGAGCTTCAGCCACTTACTGCTGTCAACGCGTTATTTAGAATAACAACAACTTAAGTTATTTTTATGGATGTTGCCACACTCAATTTCCGGACTTCTATGTATAATTTTTTCATATATATTTTTGGTTGTTTGGATGTATTTTATGCACTCGTGCAAGATCAAACAAATCGGATTGAAGTCTCCTCACACTATACGAAACGATAATAAAAACGGTTGCATTAAAACTTTTAAAACCCTTTTCAAGAAACGACAAACATAAACAACAAAACGCACACACACACATAAACAACACACGCGAAGATCTTTGCGATTGATTTTATTAGAACGAACGGCACACGCGACGTTGGCGACGATCCAGCGATCCAACGATCCTCCAGCGATGGCAGCAACTGCACAACTAAAAACTGGAGACCTGTGGATGCTCTGGTTGCTGGATGATGTCTCGTGTAGGCAGGGCCGGTGTTCGTGCTAATAAAAATTAAAACACTTTTATGCCATTAACAACAGGAATGACAACGCGAACCGAAGGCGCTGCCAAACGAAATGAAAATGATGCTCAATGGGGGCTGGCAGCGAGGCGTCTGTCAGAAAGCGACGCGCTGACAATTAAACAGGCGTTTGCCTCTGTATATTTCTGTAATAATTATTCTAATAACAACAACAAACGAGCGACACTAAAAGCCGTCATAGATCACGATCGCAAGAAAGCTCACGCGCGCGTGCGCTCGTTTATATTTATTGATACTCGACGAACGCGCAAGTTTTTATCTTTTACCTCTGCCAGTTGTACCGTCCTGTTCAACGTGCAAACGCACACTGAAGGGTAGCAGCAGCGACAGCAACATCAAAAGCAGCAGCAGCAGAAGCAGAGGCGGCGGTGGCAGCGACGGCAACAGCGGCAGCGGCAGCGATAGCGACAGCGATGTTCGAAGCAGCAACAGTTGTTGCAGTCGTCGTCGCCTGATTGCAGTTTGTTTTGTTCTCAGCTGGTGTAGTTGTTGTTGTTGGCTGCTGGATGATGTTGCTGTTGTTGTTAACTTGTTGCCGTTTGTGTAGCGGTGTTGTTGCTGCTGGGAGAAACGCGTTCAACAGAGCGGTCGTAGCCGCAGCCGCAGCCGCAGACGCCGCCGATAGCATTTTGTCTTCGTTTGTATTTTTCTTTTGACGCGTGAGTAAGCTAAGACGCCCACGTGCAAATTTGCGTAAGCGACTAAGAGACTAGAGTTGCCAGATTGTTGATAACTTGTTTTAAATGGTTCACGGTAAGAGTGAATTAGCAAAGAAAAATAAATCGAAGATTCAAGAGTTGATCGATAGCTAATTGGTCCATCACAGACAAAAAGTGTAATTTATGCAGAAGCTAATGAACAGCTAGGACATTACTTACTTTTTGAGTTCCTTAATGAATAGTATACTGATTATGATTACTGATGTGCCCGATTGGACACGGACCGATTATATTATACTTAAAATTATTCTATCAATTATTCAATCCAATTAGGATATTTTGACGCGTGAGTAAGCTAAGACACCCACGTGTAAAGTAGCATGACTAAGATACCAGTGCTGCCAGATTATTGATAACTTGTTTTGAGCGGCTCCGGAATAAGTGAATTAGAAAAAATTCAACGAAATACAAGTTGATTGATAGCTAATTGATCCATGACAGAAGAAATAACTCATTTACATCTAGCTGGTTAAGTTTATGCGTTTCTTAATGAATAATTTATTGATTTGGCTTGCTGATCTGCCTAATTTGTCATTTATAGCAACAAATTATCCTACATTTACTATCCAATCGGGCCCTAAACTTATATCAATAAAGTGTGCTCTTATTTTGAAATCGAAAGCAAACAACAATGTAGCCCTTGCTCATAAACCACATTTTCTGTGAATACTCTGAACCCTTTTTTATGCATTCAGCCTTGCCGCATTCCCCACATATCCCGGCCAGAGCGCAAAGCGTAAAAGCTGGGCACTTTAAAAATGCCCAGAAATGGGGCTCATAAAAACCGGCACGAACCGTGCAATCATTAAAGACAACAACCAACCAACGCTCGTATAAAACCAAATCACCCCAGACCCAAAATAGTGTTATGTCCATGTGGCACCTATTAATGGCTACTTATGCAGTACAAGTGTTAACGCCTGCCCCCCAGCCCCTGCGCACCGACCTCTATCAAAGTGACAACACGAGTGATGCGTAACACGTCAGTAGCCAGCAAAGAAAGCAGATCTTCAGATCTACCAGTTCATCATTATGTCGCCAGCCGTGTCAAGCCATGCCCTGGCCTGGCCTGAAGCATTATGCATATATATCATATCATATGAAGCACACCCAGTTCCAGGCAGAGCGGATTCACATCTCATCTCGTCTCAACGTCGCTGCATATTTCGCCCGTGTTGCTTGTTGACTGCATTTTTTTGGACACGACGACCACTTGCTGAAATTTCATTATGTGCGTGATTTATAAATAAGCGGCGCGGTGTGCAGCTCGTTGAGATCGGATGATGCTGTTGTTGTTGCTCGCAGCATCAGCAACAGCGGGCACGACCCACGCACTTTGGCGGCGCTACAACGCAGCTTGCATGTCTGACTACCCCTCGGTTGTTGCCTTTGTTGTTGTTGTTGCAGTTCATTTCGTATTAATCATAAAATTGTATTATTAACATGTTTATTTTTCGATCTTCAAGTTTTCGATTACACGCATTCCTCACTTTATTTGTGGCGCTCTTTCGAGTATGTGTGTGAACGTGACTTTGCTGTGCAGTGTAACGAAAGTGAGCCACTTTCTAACACTGTCCGCTCACTCAGGAAATTGTCTTTTATGCCTTTTTGACCATTAATTGGGTTACTCTCGAACTAGCGCAGTGGCCGCACTTAAAACTGTCGCATAGGATGGAGCGTGGGCGTGAGACCATACACAAAGCCAAAGCTAAAAACCCAGGTGCGTTATAAATATTACAACTCACAAATTAGCGGGGAGAAATGTGAAGGTCTAGGCTAGTCAAGCCGAAGATAAAACAATATATGCGTCAACTATAAGGAGTGCTATCTATGTGATGCCTGATTGATAAAGATTGGCAAATTGGCAATTGAAACATGGTAAATCAGTGGGGATCATAGATAGAGAGAATCATAAGATAGAAAGACTGCAATTCGAATCGATTCCAAGAAGGTATATATATTACTTAGGTACATTATATAGGTACATTTATCTCACATATCAGCGCTACAATTTTAAAAAAATTAAACCCAAATAACAACCCAAAAATTAACCAAGCCTGAATATCTAATATACACAAAAAAAATTATAATAACAACTGTGGAACACGAAAGCAGAAAATCAATTTTACATGGCAAAATTGAGTTCATAAACGTAAAAACCAAGCTCATGTTGAACCAACCTTAACTTCTTTATATTTACACTGAGCATCAATCATTTTCGTTCACTTTTTTAACTTTTACAAAACATCTTTTTTAATATTATCTTGAAAGCAATATATTACAAAGAATTGTTAAGACTCTAATAGATCAAAATTAATGGACAAGTTGAAATGCCTAATAATGTTGTAGCTCTACAAATTAAATATTTATATTCAAGATGATAACGAACTAAGAATTTAATATCAGTTAATACAAATTTTGCTTCGATTTTCACACAGAAAGTCGTCGATTTCCCTTCAGTTTTTCTATGTACCTTTCGAAAAAATAAACAATTAGCTTATATTTATATATTATATTTACATTAGCTCTTCTTTAAGCCCTATAACTTCGCACACTTGTGCAGTTAAGTAAATAAAAACAAAATTAGTTAAAGGTCAGTCAATATAACTCCCGAGTTTGCCCTCAAATGGAACAAGTTTTCTATTCATCGCATATCTATGTCTAATAAATATTTAAAAGCGCACACAGACACACATACGATTACGATTGACTATATAATTAACGTCAACGCAGGCTATAAAGCAAATGATTAACGCCGTCTTTATAAAAGACCCAATGCAAATAAAGCCAGAGCTCTATGGTTATGGCTAGGGTGTAGTCTGTAGACCTGATCATTAATTACACACATCGAATGGTTGTTGTTGTTGTTGTTCTTTTTGTTGTTATTTGCTATTTTTCTATAATTTTACATATGATATTCTGTGTGTTGTGTGGTTTTTATGAATAAATTAATTTAAATTAAGCAATAAGCCAACTAACTAGAGTATCTAATATTACGCGCTATTACGTCTTAAGCGTATTTTATGATAGCTTTTAAACATTTAACGGCCCCGACCAGAATCTTGCATATTAGTTTTAATCGTGCTTAACATTTTAATCTGTAAGTTAAATGCAAAAAAGAAGAAGCAAATTAAGAAGCCTTTTGTTCGGAGCCGCATCAAACGTTAAACGGTAGCAACTCTTAATTAACTCATCTGTTGTCATTGAATCTGTGCGCCAGATACCCTGTAATCTATGACTTCTTCTCCGCACTGGCCACCTCAATGGAGTCGCCACAGCTGTAAGTACACACACACACACACAATTGTTTTTTTTTTTAATTTCGAATTTTTGTTGATGCTGTTGATATGGCTGATGAGTTGACACAATGTGATGTATGGGTTTTTAAGTGGATCTGAAGTGCCAGGTGGACATTAGCATAAGCTAACATTCGGGTGGGGTTAATGTTGCCACTCAAGGTCAGCAAATGGACAGAGGTGCAAATAAACAGATAAGCAGTGAACATAAAGTTCCTCTTAATATTGCTAAAGATATAGCTCTTATTCCATTCAATTGATTTTTATTTAAATCTAAAATCCTAACAATAACGCGGTATGAAACTGCGGTAAGCTCGTCATATTAATTATTAATTATTTTTTTTTATTGTCTAGTATAAGACAGATTGCAAATAAAACCAGCAATTAAAAAAAAAAAAAAAATTATAACACTTATGATCCAAGTTAACCAAAAAGTTATACAGCTTAACAAGATAAAAATAAGAACACTGTCAGAGAATTCTTTAAATATTCATTATCTATATATACTTGATGAAATCTCTACTCATGCAGTTCACTTAATAAAAAATAGCATTTTGATAATTATATAATTTAATAATAAAGTTCCTGCAACTGACTATATATATAGTTGTAATTTGAAATGACTACAAATTTTGATTAACCTAAAGGATCACTTTAAATAAAGGCAAACTAAAGCTCAATCTAGAAATAGACTGCAGTTAATAAATTGAATTCTTCATAATTCTTCTAAATAAATTAAATTCTTCATCTAGTTCTGATTAATTATTGTTGTATAAGTGTATTTGTAGTACCTCTATATATTATTGTAATTCAGTTACAAGAAGTGCGTTACCCCTGTACAGTTAGATTATATATACTAGACTGTTAATAAGCTGTAACCCCATTACATATGCTAAACTTTATTAACAGACTTGAACCCACGCACATATGTTAAAGCTTATTAACAGACTAGTCTACATAATCTTACCTAACCCTTTGACTTGCTCTGTTTCGATGCCATCGTACTAAAACCTTGCATAGCTCTGTCTATCTATGCACATATATAAATATCTATCAAATCGGATCACAATATCACTAGCTATAGCAATATAACTATATATACATATATTGACATTGTCCTATTTTAAGAGGTGTGTAGCTAAAGCTATGCATTTGTAGATAAAGGTATACATATATACCTAGGTATATGGATAAAGCAGCTATACCTAGGTATAGTTATACATATATAATAATATAAAGCTTTACCTACATATCTACATAACATAAGACAAATCAGTTAACATACTTGTATATGAAACTCTTTTTGTTGATGCACTAAGGAAGCCCTTGTACTCATCAGATTTACTAACTTAATCTGCAAATGGCTAACTACAAAAACTAATTATAAAGAGCTAAAATATTTTTATTAAAATGCCAATTCAGCTCAACAGGTGACTAGCTGTCGAACTTAATGTATCTCAATATTTATGTTATTCAGTGAATTGTATTATTGGCTAGGATTAGAGATATAACTAGAATTTCCTGTTCTTCTGATTTCTAGTTGTTTACTTGAGAAAAGGATGCCCACTGTGCTACCACTTGAGCTTTCAGTGCAACACAAATTCCTGAGTGGACTGCCCATATAACCCATTAACCCCATGCCAGCGAGCCACCGCGGCTAGCCACAAATTCACTTTCCTATTGTGGCTGAATTAAGCAAACCACGAACCACGCAATCGAGCTGGTCTTGCAAATTTAGACCGCAACATAAAACCTGACAATTTATGCCGACAACTGTGCGAAAACCTAAATGAAAAGTGAAGTTGATGATGGGGGATGTCATAAAAAGGTAAACGGCAGCAACAGAGGCAAAACATTACTTGAGGCAGATGATGGGCGTCTTTGGCTGCTTTTGCTGCTTGGGCGTGTGTTCCGGGCACTTGACGGTGACAACACAGACACTGACATCGTCGTCATTTATATCCAGTTGCGTGGCTGGAGGAGCTGCAGCATTTGGAGACTGCACGTCACCGGCAGCACCATTTGTCTTCAAGCGCACCGCATGCGCCAGCTTTGTGGTGGCAGCCACTGCCGCAGCCACCACGTTGCCATTGCCATTGGGCAGCGGGTTGATGGGCTTCTGCAGTAACTGATTGGAGGAGTCCAGGCGATTCGAGAGCGAAGTATGACGATTGTTGACTGACTGAAAGTTGAGACCAAAGATTTAGCTTGAGACAGAGAGAGAGAGAGGGAGAGAGAGAGAGGGAGAGAGGGAGACCATCTCTTACCACATTGTTGTTGTTGTTCATGCGTCCACGTATGTTGTACAAGCCATAGACCAAGGGGTTCATGCACGAGTTCGTTGATGCGAATATGAAGAGAGCTTTGCGCACCAGGGAATTGACTTTGTCCACTGACGTTTTATCCAACGAATACCACATGCATATGAAGTAGTACGGAGTCCAGCAAATGATAAACACAATCACGATCGAAATGGTCATCTTGAGAGTGCGCTTCTTGGCGCGACTCAAGACGTCGTCGTTGGAGCGACGAAAGCGCTCCGCGATGACATCCTTAAGCACACGCTGGTTCTTGCGATAGATCTCCAAATAGATGGCACCGTAGCAGTAAATGAATGCGATCAACGGAAATGCGTACATGGCACACATTGTGGCGATCTGATATAGCCAGTTGTCGAATTCGCTAACAAACGAATGAAAGGTGACGCACTGAAAGTAGCCTTTAACGATCGGATGCTCCTCGAGATGGAAGAGAAAGGCCTGCAATGGCATGACTGACATTAATTGGAATTGGTTAACTACCGTGTGTCAGCCCACCTGCGGAATGCTGCATATGACGGAGCCCAGCCAAGCGCAGGCCAGCATGATGCGGCCACGATTGTAGGATCGTTGCAGTGGCTTCAGGATGGCATAGTATCTAAAAAGAGAGAGAGAGACAGTGAGAGAGAGAAACTTAATCGAAATGTTAGGCAAGCGATTGACACTTTGTGTGTGTCGCCTTATCTGGCGATCAATTTGGTCCATTAGCGACACAGTCGAATTTGCAGTCAACTCACCTGTCTAGCGATATGCAGACCATGACAAAGCTCGACAGGTAGAGTCCGAACACACGAAAGAAGCTCATGAGACGGCACATCAGATCCGTGGAACGCCACTGCACCGTCCAGGCCCACGCAATCTCGAGCGGCATCAGCAGAAACGTCACCATTAGATCGGCAATGGCCAAGTGCATTAGCATGATGTCGATACGCAAGGGACCACGCAGTCGACGCTTGGTCAGCAGATAGAGCACTGTGCTGTTCCCAATTGTTGAGATCACAAAGAGTATGCTGTGAATGGGAAAAGGTCGTGGCGATTAATCGGCTAACTGCACGAGTGAATAACTGAACGACTGAGCGTCGATATCGCTTGGGGATAAGACATTCAAGTGCGGGGCGGAAGCGGGGGCGGGGCATGGCGCTGCGTGGGTGCACTTCGGCTTTGATAAGTGGGTCATACGAACTGAACGGAGCAGCGAATTCAACTGCAATTCAAACGGTTTAAGAAGGGAGTGTGCAGCTTATCACAATATTTATAGACTGTACGTGTATTTATCGTAGATGCAAATCGTAGGCTATGTACATCAGGGTGTTTGCAATCAAAGAATATGATAAAGTCATGGGATAAGGAAGGTTTATAAGCCAAAACGGAAAATAGTTAAAAGCAATTTTAATAAACATCTTGAATAAGTTGCTTTTGTTTTGGTATGAAAAGCTTAAATTATTTAAAAAAAATTATTTTTATCATGCACATTTTTTATTATGACTACAATTATTGACAGATATTTTTTAAAGGTCGTAATTATATAATAACTTAGTTAAGTTATTATATAAGGAATATATATCATAACTATTTGTAAACATAGTAATAAACTATTGTATGTAAGTTTTCTTTAAATACTTCAAAATATTAGAAACAATAAAAGTCAGTAAACAAAATTAAAAAAAAAATAATTAAAACCAAATATCAAACATAAAACTATTTGTAAAGGAAAATATTAAACACAAATATTAAAAAATAATATTAAAAAAAAAAATAAAAGAATATTTAAAACAAATAAACACAAAATCATATTTAAATAAAATTAAAATAATATATATTTAAAAACTTTAAAAACAATTTTTCAAAAATATTTTTAAAAAGAAAAGATATATTATATATATATATAATTATTAGATTTTAGTTATTTTAAGTATATAGTGAATCTGAAAGTTTATGAAATTTGTAGAGTATCTGCTAGTCATATACAAAATTGTAATGTATAATTATTCATTTTAACAAGCATAACATATATTTCCGTAAATCGCGATAAATGACGTCTGCTTAGCAAAAATGATTTCAATAAAAATATATCAAAATATACAGCACTGTAATAAAATGGATTGTAAAGATAGCAAATATGTAAATACTAAAATATAAATACATATAAAAATGTATAAATTATGTTATGTTCCTTTGAAAACAGCAAAAATATGCGATATCCCAAGCATCTGCTAGTTAAAAAAATTTTTACAAGTTTGTGGTGTACCACATAGTTAGGGTATCTGCTAATCGAACAACAATTTCAAAGCGCCTTTTCACTGATTTTACCAAACATAACGATTTTTCCATAAACGATAAACGACGAAACGTTCGCTTAGCAAATATAATTTTATGACTCGCGTTCAAAGACCTTTTAGCGCATAGCTAAAAACACTGAAGTTGGTCTTAGCTTAATGTAGACATAAAAGTTAACAATTCTCTAAAATTGAAATGTCAAATGCATTTATTGTTGTATTTAAATATGATTTGCAGACAAAAGAAGCTTAAGAAAATATTGTTAATTAAGCAAAGTATTTAACTACAATTAAAAAATAATATTTATTACAGGCAGGAAATAAATAGATATATATATAAAGGTAGTCATTAAGACTTTATTTAAATAATATTTTAAACAACTTTTAATTATAGCTATAATTCAATTTTTTATAAGATTTACTTTGCTGTTCTTTTTGTTGCTGTTCCTTAATCAATCAACTGTCTAGACTGTATAAAGGGCAAAATAGGCAAGCCTTAATGATTCTATTAAATAATATATATTTTTATAATTTCATTTATATTAAAGCTATTAACTATTTTCATAAAGAAAATACCGTTTGATATTCACTATTCTCCTATCAATATTACGTATACGCCTATTGAGACTTAACAGAAATTCGATTTAATCACAAACTAAATAATTTATAACCCGCAACAATAAACACATAGTTGTACAACGAGAAACATTTTATTTAATAAAATTAAATTTGTATAATATTTTTGAGTTTCTTTCAAAAAAAAAACTACTTTCTACGGGCTTCTTAGTCAGTTTTGTGAACGTCAATCAGCTGCAAAGATCTGTGTAACACTTCGAATCACTCTATTAAAGTGAACTCTACGCTGAACCAAAGCGTTCAAATTCCAAGTGAAAAATTATTAAAATCAGAGACAGATAGACATGAACACGACATGATTTATACTTATTTATAACCACATCCACACACCTACACAGCGGCTGATAAGTTTTAGAAAAGTGCATAGACAATCGTTGCTTATCAGCGTGACTGTGTGTGTCAGTGTGTGCGTGTGTGTGTCAAAGTACAACAATGCTGGCTTGGGGAAATGTGTGGGTGATCTCACATGTTAAGCTGAGTATAGAAAGTCCCATTACCATTACCATTCCCATTTCTCGCACTCACCTGTAGACTGTGATGGACAGACGATGGCCGTCGTTAAATATCATATCCTTGGACAGATGCATTGTGCCGTTTGTATTATTCACATTGGACCAATCACGCAATATACGATGATCATAAACAACCTCATTCACTTCGCCAGACCCGGCCATCTTAGTGGCCATCAACACACACCGCTCTCCGCAAGAGTTCTCTTTTGTTTAAAAACTTATGGCGCACGTGAAATTTAAACAAAATAAACAGTTTCAAGATATTTCACTCTATTTCTGTTGATTAGTTGTTAAATATAGAAGATTACTAGAATTTTTCCTTTTTTTATACGCTTACTAAATTTTATTTTAATTAGCTAAAGTGCAGACATTTTTTAAAATTTGTTTTTATTTAATCAAAGAAAAGTGAATTCGAAAAAGGAAATAATTAATAACAATTTTAATGTGTGAATGTCTTCAAGGAATTTCTTTTAGAAAATAAAAAGTTTAATATGTTGGTATTTGGTATTTTTTACAAATAAATTTAAAAATTCCAAAAAAATTGAAATTTACTTTATTATTTTACTCGAATGAATATATAAATTTATTGCAATTTTAATAACTAATTGTTATTTATTTAAATTCCAGTCACTCAGCTTGGCTAAGTAAAATTCGTTCACTTGGTTGATGACGATTATTTAATAGGTAAACACGTATCATATATATATTAAATATATATATAATCCAATATATATGTATATTTGTTTATTATTATTTTGCGTTCCAGCAAATTAAGCTCTGTGCAATACGCTCGACTGCCAGCCTTGCTTGATAATCACACAAACAGAAACTGACTCCAGAGCCCACTTGTCTTATTGCGCCCTATAGTCTAACGAGCCAAAGGATAGCCCCGGTACGCATATACATTGATGCTTTGTTAACTCAATTTGATTAATTAGTTTCACTCATTTGTCCTGCTGGGTCGGAATTTCATGAATTCATATTGTCTTGCTACGTTTATATATATGTATATATATATATATATATATATATATATATATATATATATATATATATATATATATATATATATATATATATTTAAGTAGCTTTTTTAATGATTGTTTTTAAGCTGCATTTTATATGCTGACCTTGAACTAATTTTGACAATCAAATATTTTTGATGTATATAAAAATTCCACTTATGCTGCGCTTCGACTCTTGTTTATTATTAATAATCTTGTTCTCACATGCCGCTGGCTAGATAATCAGTTAATCAATTGCGCTCAATAGAGCAGACACTCAGACTCACTCAATTGAAAAGAGACAACAACAATAACAACAACAACAGCAACAACATTAAAGATTACGAATAGACAACAACAATCGAAATGCCTCTCAGTGCATTAATCCTTGAGCATCGAAACTTGTAGCACAATAAATGAATTGTTTATTTATTTGTTTTAATCGCGCAGTGTTTGTTGGCCTTTTGAACTTTTGCTTGCTTAGTTTGTGTTGATGTTAAAGTCAGAGATAAATAATAGAATAGGCAGACGGAAATTCTAGGGGGCTCGCCGTTCAGGCAATTAAAAACAATCGTGAACCGGATAGCTCAGCTAATTATAAACGCATTATATTATTTCTGTTATACAACTGTTAACTGTTATACAATACTATTGCATTCCCCTAAAGTTTCCTAATGGCTTAATCAAGCCAGCAATTCACCTATTTTAAGCGTAATCAATGATTACGTCTGTGCTCTAATTGCTTCCTTTTATTTTCCTGTTTTCGTTTCTTTTTAATACCGTTTTTTCTTTATTTGCGTTTTCTAAACACGCGCGCGCACCGTGTCCAAGAATAATATGGTGTTTATGTATGTGTGTGAATGTTATTATTGTGCTTGCCATAGACACAGTAGCGTGTGTATGTGTGTGTGTGTATGCAAGATCTGATAATTTGCACACCTCACGCACTAACACCAGCAGAACAGCCAACACAATGCAATCGATCAGTTTACAACACTGACTACACGCACACAGTGAGTGAGCGTGAAAGAGAGAGAGAGAGAGAGCAGCGTGAGTTATGTTATCGATATTTCATCTAATTCGCGGTACTCGAACATATATTTGCACCGTGCGGCGTACAGGAACTGACTGAATCAAGAGGGCGGCTGCTGTGGCAGCTGATGCTGCGCTGGCTACTGCTGCTGCTGCTGCTGCTGCCGTGAAATCGAAATCTCAACAACAACTGATAATCTAATTTGAAAATAAAGTAAAAAAGGCAAATGTGCTACACAGCTGGCGCTCTTACACACACATGTAGTTGGCAATGCCGGCCGGGCCGGGCATTGATAACAGCAGACGACCCCAAAAATGTCGGACATGTGTTCGGTGTGTCGTCCCGCCCGCATAAATCCAATGCGTATGCCGCTGTCTGTCACTGTCTCCGTCTCTATCTGCGTCTGTGTGTAACTCAAAGTTCAAAGCTGGTCTGTCTATACAGTCGAATTGCCAAAACGCTACGACGCGCTTATCAACATAATAAAAACCGTAAAACGCCAGCCGTGAGCGTGTCTCAAAAATAATATATATATTTTTAAATATATATATGTGTTTCTGTGTGAAGAGAAGAAGCAAAAGCTTATCTGCGTCTGATGGCGGCACGTCTTGACTTTTTCACCAACTTAATGCGAATATATAAAAAATATATATTTATACATTTGATTTGTAGTTAAATAAATTGAAATACTGCGTAAATTATCCTTTTCCGGCAACACTTGCGTTAACTTTGGCCGCCCATTGGCGTCTGTTTTGCACCGCATTTCTGCACTTTTCAAGGTTAACCATTTTGCCCATATTTTCTCTATTTGTTTCTGCTTTTTCTCTGCTGCCCATAAATGCCAAGTCGCAATTTGCCAAACATTTCATTTATATAATGAGCACAAATTGGTCCCAACAAAAAGGATTTCAAGTTCATGTCCATAGTCCATATGACATTTCACAGCCCCCCATTGTATGCTATGAATAATTTACGCGAGTGTGTGCAGCTGTTGGCTTTCTCCACACACACATACATAGATATGTGTGCATGCGAGTGTGTTAGTGTGCGTGTGTGCGCGAATAGTTATCAAGATGCACCTGTGCTGATAAGGCAATCATTTTGTTCATTTTAATGAGGCAGCGTGTCGCAGTGGAGTTGTGAGTTAAAGAGTTTGCAATTTAGAATTGAATCTATCGGTATATCAAAACTAATGTCTGATATTACAGCGATAATTTAAGTGTCCATTATGTAGTATGCTTGCTCTCAAACTTATAATAAAAATACTTGTAAAATATTATATTACAATTAATCATTTATTAAAATTGCGCCGCCTGAAAGAGTACTACAGTTTGTTATAAAGAAAATTGTTTACAAACTTTAGCACTTCTTTTAATACAATTAAGTCCTTTCGTCAGCCACCTTAAAATATTTTCTCATGAATATTAAAGTACACTTTGAAAGCTGTCAAATTATAAAAAGTATCGGAGAGCTAAAATACTTTATAAAATAATATACACGGAATATTAAATATTTAGAACTGTATAAGCGGTAATAAGAGAATTAAATTATCGATATAAAACATATTTTTGTCTTGCAAGCATATAAACAAAAAAATATATATAGAAAATCAACAATTCTTATTATAATGTATTGTTTTTTGGCAGCACAGTGTAACCTGTTGCTCAAAAATATCGATAGTACAACGTATTTCAGATATCGATGGGCACAGCACGAGCTAGTTCAATTGCATACGGCCTAACACAATCGGAATCAGTTCTGTACTGAATTCCAGTTTCACGTGTTGCGGTTGCTTACAGGTTTTGTTGTTATTATTGCAATAAGTAAATGAATTACTTGTAAAAATGTTGCGAAAATCAAAAAAGCAACCACAGACTGTGGCCGAGAAGGTCAGCAAACTGCTCGCCCATCCCAACGACAGTGAAAGTGATGAAGAATCCGATATTGATGTGGCCACAAAAGCGCGCGTTGTAGATTTCGAGGATGAATACGATTTGCCCGATTCACGTAGCACAGATTTTCGTAAACGCAATGTGAAATTATTGTCTGAGCAGAGCGAACGATACAAGGGTAAAATAAGCAGTCGCAAAGAACTTGAGCAGGAAGACGATGACGAGGAGGAGAGTGACGATGAGGATGAGGAGGAGCTACCATATGAAGAAAGTGACACAGACGAGGAAGAAGCAAAGAACTTGAAGGCTTTCAACAAGTTAAGAGCTTCGAAAATTGTTGCGAATGGATCGCAGGGTGAAGAAGATGATGATAGCAGCATGGATTATGAGAACGGCGGACATCAAATAGATGGTGATGATGATAGCGACGAGGAGGAGGATGACAGTGATGTTGGTGATGATAATGATAACGACGATGATGAAGATGATGATGATGGTGATAATGATGATGATGATGATGATGATGATGATGACGATGACGACGAGAATAATTCAGAAGATGATGCAATCAATGTGAACAAAATCATGTCCAAGACAAATCAGCAAGCCGAAGTACAAAAAGGACTCTGCGTGCAAAATCAACTGCAGATTTGGGAGCGACTCTTGGAGCTGCGCATCAACACGCAAAAATTCACGAGCAAGGCGAATCAATTGCCGCCGCCAGAGACGCTGCGAACGCTCAGCGATAATAACGAGGAACTGAAAACGGTGTTAAAAGAAGCCGAAGAACGAAGTACCAAACTATTGCATCAACTGCTCGCACTGCAGTCGGCGCTCACACAGCAGCACAGTGAGCTGCGACAGGCCGTAAAACGCAAACAACCAGCAGAGTCGAGATCCGAGTCGGAACCAGCCAGCAAATGCTTTGCGAGTGCGCTGCAAAGTAATTTTGAGAATATGCACAGCTATCGCAATGAGGTTCTGCTCAAGTGGGATGATCGAACCAAGTTGTTAACACCTGGAGCGGGTGCTAAGAGAAAATCCATGCAGGAAGACTACGATGTCATCAAGAAGATTGACAGTGCGCTGGCCAATCGTGGCGCACTCATAGAGAAATCCCAAACACTCAAGAGCAGTCAGCCGCAGCAGAAGGCGCAGCACGCAGACGAAGATTCCGAGCTAACCAACAATAGTCAAAGGCAACCGCACATTTACGATGATAGCGATTTCTATCATCAGCAGCTGCGGGAACTGATTGAATACAAGGCCAGCACCACATCCAACATGGGCGATATAACCAAGCAGTTTGTGGAGCTGCAGAAACTGCGCCAGAAAATGAAAAAGAAAGTGGACACCAGAGCCAGCAAAGGCAGAAAGTTGCGGTAGGCACTGCATAAAATATTATTTACGAAATTTATATTTTTTTAACTTCATCTCTCCCTCAGCTATGTGGTGCATAATAAGTTGATCAATTTCATGGCTCCTAATGAGGCAAGCGACTGGACGGATGACTCCAAGGCGGAACTGTTTAGATCGTTATTTGTTTAAATCACAAATCCGTAAAATATTACAATTAAATATTGTAGATTATGTTATACGTTATTTCACGTAAAAGAATTCTTTAGCGAAACATAATTTTAATTATAAATCCATTTAAAGAAATTATCAATGTGTTTCAATTTATTTAAGCTTGTTAAAGACATTAAATTCGAACCTAACTAAATATTATGAAAATATTAAATACTTGTATTCCAATTATTGCTGAAACTCCTAATCTACTTTTTAAAAAGGTAATTCCTTTCATAATTGATGTTGACAAACCCAGAGAAACAACAACGTTTTTAGTTTTTAATCATATTGAATTTTATTTTTATTTATTTCATATGTTTGTTTGCTTTTAACTGCTAAGTTTTGTATGTTCAACATTTGCTTCGTTTATTATTTGATTTTATTTACTTTTTGCTTTAACTGGATAATTTTATTTATGCAAAAAACGAACCGGTCAAATTGCATAACAATATGGCATCAAAATAACCGTTGTAAGCGTTTTTTCCCATTTTCCGTTTCGCAACGGAGAGAGCGTGGGTGCGTGTGTGTGTGTGTTTGTCTACGTGTGTAGTGGGGAAATTGCATATTGATATTTGCTTGCGGTTTTCAAGTTGCGTTTGTTGTTCATTCAATACATATATGTAAATACATACATATATATATATATATATTTATATAATTTGTTAATATATTAAACTAGTTTTCCACTGATGCACGTACATTCTTGACTTGGTATTCGTTTAATTTTACTTTGCTAGTTTCGTATTTTCTTATTTGTTTATTTATAAAATAATTATTCTTTATGTGATTTAGTATGCTTCGTCGTCTAAGTCATTGTTAGTTAAAGTTTAATTGCAATAAATAAGTTTGTATATTAATTTGCTAATTAAACTTTGCAAATGTAAAGGCAAAAAATAATAACAAATGAAGATTGCATTTGAATTTCATAAATAAGACTCCGTCTATAGGACGTACAAAATATAAATAAATACATAAAAAATTTCACGAGTTTTTTAAATACCAAAGTTTACATGTTAAAAATACTAGAAAATTTTCGAGCACATTTTCGTAATTGTTTCGGTTTTTCTTTTTTATAAATTAATTTGTATATAGTTCGTCAGAGGTTTTCGATTCCGGGACTTTGGATTCATTGTCAAGCTCTCATTAAAAATTAATTAACAATTAGCAGAAAGAAATAAAACTATATAGAGCACATAATATCAATTAATTGTTAGGGTTCCTTTATATTGCACTTGAATGCGTTCGAGAATTTTAAAAACTTGCTTTCCACTTAAATGCTACAAAAATTACCACGACACAGACAAAATTTTGAAAAGAATCGGAATACTGGGCAATTTGTTGACTTTGGGAAGTGGGATACCGAAAGATACATTAAATACATATACATATAAACCTACAATGAGTGTGTGAGTGTTTTGAGTTGAGAGTTTGGTTCTTGTCTCGCTTTGCTTTTGTATACAAAACTACCAAATACAAAGATTACAAAAATGCAATGAGTCGCGTCTGCTTATTGGTTTTTTGTTTTTTTTTTCTCTTTTTCCCTAATTGTTAATGGAATTCTTCAGCAACAGGGGCAGCCCAGTTTTGGTTTTTGATTTAGAAACGAGTATGGTGGCAGTTTTGGTGCCTCCGGCAGCCCCACTGGAGGCGGCTGCATCAGTGACAGCGGAGTTTGGTCGCGACATTGCAGCGGCCTGCAGCTGCCGCTGATGCAGCTCCTGCAGTAGCGACGAGTGTTTATCTAACGCTTGCAGCTGTGCCGTGTTTTGAGTTTCGTAGTGCGACGACGATTGCAGCTGTGTATGTATGGAGGTGACATTGGACAGCGTGCTCTCGGCGTCGGCCGTTAGAAAATTGCTTAAATAGCGTTTGCTAGTTGTTGTCGATGTTGTCGTTGTTGATGTTATAGTGGTTGCCATTGTAGTCTGTTCCTGCGCTGAAACCTAAATAGAAATCAATTCCATTGTAATCTCATAATAGTTGTCAAACAAAGTTAAAGTAGTCAACCTTTCTGTGTGCACCCAGCTCGGCGTCTCAAGTGCACTTGGCAGGATGTATAACATTCTCCATATCCTTTTGCACCGCATACAGCTCCGACAGACTCTTGGAAAACAGGACATTCAGTTCACTCATCTTTGCCAGCTGCAAAACGTTCTTACATTAGTCTCTATACATATATGATAGGTATATTTAGTATTAATTACAGTTTGATCATTGCACTTTTCACGTAAGCTCATATTGGCCGTTTTAAGCTCTATTTCGTGTTGCAGCAATTCCGCCTGCAGCGTCTCTGTGCGCGCCTTCAACGCAGCCACCTCGCGACGCAGTTCATCTTCTGAGGCGCCGCCAGCTGCGGAGCCACCACCACCGCCGCCAACACGCATCAGTTCCATTTCTCGCTTGAGGCGTATGTTCTCCTCCTTGTAGGTATGCAGCTGGCGCTTCCATTCGTCGACATTAGCTGTCGATTCCTGTGGGATTTGAGAGTGGGCTTTAACTTTAGGAATTGACCAATTTTAAACGTCATACACACCTGTAAGGCGCTGGTCAGGCGTATGTTATTGTTCTTCAACGTGGCCAACTCAATTTCCCACTTCTTGGCATTGGCGCAGCTATCAAGGTTAAATTTATGATTACAATAGAAGCAGAAGACCATTTCATATATATCATTCGTACCTCTGCGCCAGTGCCATTTTCAGACGTTCGTTTTCATATTTGAGCTGCTGCTCGGCCGTTGCGCCCGCTCCTGGTCCAGTATGCATGCCCACAATGCTGCCACCAGAAGAGATTGTAATACCACCACCACCGCCTCCGCCACTGCCACCGCCACCACCGCTGCCAGCCAGGGTTGCTGTGCCAGCAACCATGCCCATCGTTGGCTGTGGCGAAGGCGTTGCCGATCCAATATCCTGCTTGCCATCGCTAGTGTTCAATAGCTTGTGGGAGGGACTATCGGGATTGGCATTCTGTGTATTGGTATTACTTAAATTCGGCGGTTCAACGGTATGAGGATCGATGTTGGTATTGTCATTTTGCATGGCGCCCACGGCACGTCCCGATATCGGAGATGTATTTGCCGAGGTGGTGGGCGTCACTGCATTCGATCCATTCGCAGATTTCATGGCATTCTTGGTGGCCTCTTTGACCTCCTGGAATTTTTCCACAAACTACGAACGAAAATGATGTTTATATGATTATTAATGGAGGAATACTACTATTAGACAGACAAACCTTTGTCAGTTCCGCCTCAGAGGAGAAGCCCAGTCCGTACACCGTATTGGCGCGCACATCGCTCCATTGTCCAAACTTTTGGGATGTCTGTGTGAATGTCATGCTGGGCGTTATTGTTGAATTGATGACCGCCTTGGTGCCCTCCACGCTAATGATGCGATATAAATTCCGAGAGATGTCATAGAAGAAGCTCACATTGACCGCCTTCATGCTGGCCGTGATCCATGTGCGTTTCGTCTTTGGATCAATATGAAACACGTGCGCCTGGCAAGTGAAAATCGGTTGCTCTCTGTTTGTGCGAAATAGACAGGTAAAAGGAGTAAAGGCAGCAGCAGCAGCACCCACAGGTGATTAATTAAAAATTCCATTAAAATTCTTGCACGTCGGCTTAATATTTAATTTGTAAACGCTTGCTAAGGGGCAGTGGAAGGAGGAAGTCGGTTTTGCACGATAAATACAATATGTGACCAAGTTGGTAACGGTATATTTAGATCTTTATATGGCTGTGCTAGCTGCTAATTGATATAGGAAGTGCAAACAAACTAGCAATCAATACAGTGAACGCTCAATATGTGGCCCAACTTGCATTAACTAAAATTACAATGAAAAACTATTCAATAACAATCCTATAAATATAATTGATTTTAAATAATAATTATTAATAATAAAAGAATAGTTTTTTAATTTAATTAATAATATAATTAATCAGTCAATTTAAATTATTGTGAAATATTGTGAATTATTGTAAATATATAATAATATTGTATATATTTAAAAAAAAATATATAATTATATTCAGCAAAATGGTAAATTGAATTTATAACATTGAAGGAATTATAATATACTTAAAAATGTATTAATTGTATTCTATTTTTCACTAACTGAATGTTCAGTATATCCATAGTTTACTGTATAATTAAAATGCTTTTCAGCCTGTTCTATACACGCTCAGTTTACTGTAATTTTTAAAAACAATGAAGTCTTTATTTCCGCCTGTTCAATATAGGCATAGTTCACAGTACGGCTCAAAGAAATTATTAAACAACTCTTTTTAGCACACACACACAGTTCGTTCACTGTAATTTTCCTATATGCAATCAAATGCTAAACCATTTATTTCCGCCTGTTCGTTCATAAGCACAGTTCACTGTAATTTTTTTGGAGTGCTCAATCAAATTCTAAACATTTCAGACAACATAATGCTAAAGCTCTAGATACGAATTGAAAATTTAGATAGAACGGCGGCGTAAATATTTATAATTTTAGTATATATCAGAAACGGCTGTCATGGCAACAATGAATCTTTTTCTCGGTTCAAACGCTACAGAGAACATAACATAGGTGCTGGTTCTTTTTGTTGTTGTAGTTCTTATTGATATTGTCGGCACCATGTCATTGGCATTGTTGTTCTTATTGGTGGTTAATGGTTGCGGTGGAGGTTGTGGTGGTAGGGGTTACGGGGGAGGGGGGCCCTTGCCTTGGCGTCTAAATTGCATTATGCGCTTAAGTGTTTTGTAGCCTCGTTTTGATTTTGCTCAAGTTTACTGCACACACACACATACACAAATGCGCGTACGCACACCTACACCGACACACACACACACATGCACACACACGAACAGAGACACTCACACGCGCATAATTGGTATCGACGGGCGGCGTTTGCCAGCCTACACCTACGTATATCATAAATTCACATTGTATATATGGCATATATTTACACCTCAGCCAAGATGAGCAGCAGCAGCAACAACAACAATAACGATAACAGCAACAACAACAATGGCATCAGCAAGGAAAACGTCGGCGTCGATTTTTCACACAATTTACAGCATTTAAAATTGTATTAGAATACTTTATGCACTTACCCCATTTTGTTTGTTAGCTGCGGCGCTATATTGATTTGTATGGCAACACGTTAACACTATACTAATTGTTTATTTTTATTAATTATAACACGAAAAAATAAAACATAAACGAGGGCGCTTGCTCTGTGTGTAAAAACTGTAGGCAATGCGGCTAAAACTGTGAGTGATGTTGCTAAAAAAAAGAGCTGTGAGCAATGTTACAACAACAGAGCAATGTTGCTTATACTGTTATCTGTCGATATGCAGCTGTAACACTCGATATATGATTAATGTACATAGGCATAGACTGGAATGGCAATATTTGGCAATATTACAATAAATTACAAATTCTAATTTTTTATGCATTTCAAACATTATTTTGGGTTGAATAAAACACAATAACGTAAATTATATATTCTCAAGCAAATTAGCTTGCCGGACTGTCAAAAATATACAAAATGTTGAAACTAGGTGGCAATATTCACATTTTTACCTAAGTGGCAACCAAAAAAGAAACGAGCTGCCTTTTTTCGCACATAAAAATCAATCAGAAATAAATAAAACTTGCTACAATTGCAACAATTAAATAGCTATATATGCAAAAGCTGAACAGCAACAAAAGTTGTTGTTGCTGCTGCTGCGCTGTCGCCGTGCGATCGATCCTTGTTGGCTACGGGGTACGTGTTTGCGCCAGGGAGGAAGGGAGTTTTTTGCTCTTTTTGCATAAAAGCCGTCGCTCTATGCTCGTGAAAAGGCGTTTTACCAATCATTAAACGACCAAGTGCAGCAGCTGTTAACCCGCGACTCTTAATTTTTATGTGTTTGCTATAATTAGTGTTAAATGCATGTGAGAAACATTAATTTAAATTAAAAAAATTATAATATAAAAAAAGAAAAAGCTGTACATATGTGTGCGTGCTGGCATGCGTGTATGTATATATACACATAAGCGGTGTGTATATGTATGAGTGTTCGTGCTGTGTCCGCAGTGTGCGTGTGTGTACGTGTGTTGCTGTAAAAAAAACTTGTTATCAATGCGGCGCCTATGATAAAAGCCTTATTAGACATGTTCAGTGTATTAGTCCAATTGGAATGTCTTAAACCCAATACACGGGCGTAAACGACTCGCGAGGGGAAAAACTGAGCATAAACAAAGCATAAAGCTTCAAAGGCGTGGGCAAAATGCGTAGGCTATTTAACCGTTTTAATTGGCTATCCAGCGATTTAAGGCAAAATTTATATTAACAGTTATTTTTCTTTTAAATTACACTTCACTCATTTTTGTACCGGTTTTTCAATAATTCGGTTTAGTACCAAAGAAATCCGTTATACCGGTTCAAACCGGTTAAAATAGTTTATCGTGTTTTTAAAAGAGAGCTTTAATAAGTCGATGCTCTATATTCTATATATGTTTATTTATATATACATATATATGTTGCATTTACTCTTTGCTCTGCGTAACCAAGATTATAAATAAAAATAATCTGGATTTCAAATATATATGTAAAAATATATAAGAAAATACTTCAATATTGTAAATAGTATAAAGAATAAAATATTCAATAAAATCAGATTCTAGATTTTAAATCTTTAACAAGATTAGATTCATATCAACGAGGGCTGTTTAAAAAATCTCATCTCTAAAAAAAACGTTATTTATTGAAAATATATAGTGCGAAATCGTAATTATTCAGACCACCCTCGCATAATAATCTGCTGAAGTTATTTAACTACCTCTTAAAATCCATGTGAGAGTTATTTTTAGACTTAAAAGAAACTAATTTGCTTTGCAGTCTTACATGCGTGCCCGTGCTCTGGTGGCCAACTAAATAATGTGGAACATGATGTGCGACGTAATGCCCACAATATCGGAAGACAGCATATCGCAGCGCTCCTCGCAGTTCAGCGGCGAAGATGCGAACTTTGAGCAGCTGATGGTGTCCATGCTCGATGAGCGGGACAAATTAATGGATAGTTTGCGCGAGGCGCAAGAGCGATTGGGTGAAACGGAGGTGAAGCTGCACGATGTCGAAAAAGAACGGGACAGTTTACAGCGGCAAATCAATGCCAATCTACCGCAGGTAAGCACAACAATTTTAAAATCTAACAATGATAATCGTTTGATGCTTTCTGCTTTTCAGGAGTTCGCCACGCTCACTAAGGAGCTAACGCAAGCGCGTGAAACTCTGCTGGAACGCGACGAAGAAATCGGAGAGCTTAAGGCGGAACGCAATAATACGCGGGTAAGCTACACATGACTTCAGCTATATTACGGATAGATCTAACTAAATCTGTATGTCATAATAGCTGCTGCTGGAACATTTGGAATGCTTGGTGTCGCGTCATGAGCGATCTCTGCGCATGACCGTCGTGAAGCGACAGGCGGCCGCCCAAAGCGGCGTCTCCAGCGAAGTGGAGGTGCTCAAAGCGCTCAAATCTCTGTTCGAGCATCACAAGGCGTTAGATGAGAAAGTGCGCGAACGTCTGCGCCTGTCCATCGAGAAGAACAATGTGCTAGAGGAAGAGCTGAATACAACCAAAGAGGAGCTAACCCAATATAAAACTGGCGCTTTGCAAAGCGGAGGCGGTATTAACTCTGCCAGCACAGCCGGGGAAAATGGCATAAAAGAAAAGGTGTGTTTGTGTGTGTGTATGCTGTTATATCTATTTATTCAATCAAGCGTGTATTTTACGTTTCGTACCTTTTGTTGTTGCAGCTGGCAAGCGGCAGCGGCGGCGGGGTCAATGGCGATGCTAGCGAACTTAACGAATATGCGGCCAAAACACACGAGCTACAAACGATCATCGAGAAGCAGGTGAGCACGCTGTGGCAGGGGTATCATAACATACATCATTGCCAACAACTCGTACTACGTTCGTAGACAATACATTCAAAAAGCAACTAATGACTCACAACGAGATGTGTTGATAAAGCAGACAACTATTTCGTATGATGATAAAGTTTATTTTAAGTGCTATGAATTTGCTGTTTAACATAATTGAGGGTTTTTAAGTGTATTCTTTTTAAATAACATTATATAGCAATTAATTGCTGTTCACTATCAGCATCAGACATTGGTCCAAGACTATCGGAGCTTACGTAAATAAATAAATAAGATAAGAATGGAAATGGATGGAGATAAGAATTTAAATGGATCGAAAAAAATAGATCTTTAATAGACGAAATGAATAGAAATTCGCATAGAATAATATTCCTTAAAAACAGAAAGCATAAATAGCTTAGGACTATTGCCATTTGGCAGAACATAGTTAAATTAAAAATGTAAAATCAAAGCACAAATTATAGATTATATAGATTTTTTAATGTCGACTACCTGCTCATAATTATATAACTCATAATTATATAACTAAGCAACTCAGTTTCACTAAATTGATTTAACTCTACTCATTCTCTACTTCAGACCTCTGAATTGTCGCAATGGCAGCGTCGTGTGTCTGATCTGAACAACAAGATTAGTGAGCTCGAGGAGAATATGTCGCGTGTGCAAAAGGAGCATTGCAAAGCGCAGGATCAATGCTCGAAGCTGCAGCGAGATTTGCGCGAAAATGTGGCACAAAAGGAAGATCAGGTAGAGCGTAGCCGAAGATATAATAGATCAACAGAATATATGACATATATAACACTTTCAGGAGGAGCGCATAACTACGCTAGAGAAACGTTATTTGAATGCTCAACGTGAGTCCACATCATTGCACGATCTGAACGAGAAACTGGAGCAGGAGCTGCGGCACAAGGAAGCACAGCTAAAGGTGCGTATAAATATAAATATAATGAAATCTATGTACATGGAATTGGTTATGGTTTCGAGGCATGGGCGAATTTCATAAATTAATCAAAACACTGCACTGCAAAACAATATACCCTACCTATCTATATGTGTGTATTTATGCCAAAAATCTTTAATGTCTTATTTCCGCTATTAATTATTATGTATCTCAGCAATTTTGGATGTTTATGGAAACGGTTCTAAAGTCAGGAAATAATTAAGCTTTGCTATATATGACATCATTCTTCAGTGTAAACATAATCATGTGTTTTGCATTGTTATTATTATTCTTTTTTAAACTGTTTTAAATTTCCTATGTAGGGTACAAGCTGTTAGCATGATGTTGTTTTACATATCAAGCTTTTTCTGTTAAATGCTTCTGTTAATAACACAAGTCTTTAATATAACAAAAAAATGTTATTAACAGCGCAGCCACTTTTTACGATAGAAGCGTAAGTTTTTAAGTTTTCGCTCAAATAGAATGTTTCAATTGAGTTTTCCTTTGAAGAATTTTCCTAAAATTTGCCACATTTTTATGCAAGCAAAAACTGCTTGAGCCAGTGTCTTGTCGTTCGCCCATGCCTGCTTAAACGCTACAGAACTGTGACTAATACTAAATAATATGTACCCTATCCATATTGCATAAAAAACCATACTAATTGAACTACACCCAACCCCACAAAATGAAAAAAAAAAACAATCCGAAAAACTCCATGGACAGCTGCACGAAGAGAAAATCAGCGCCATTGAAGAGAAACTCGAACTCTCTGAGCAAAAGCTAGCCCAACATGCCAAACTGCAGCCGGATATGGAGGAGCAGCTAAAGGCGCGCATGGAGGCATTGACAAAGGTAGGAAATAAGGTATGCACTCGAACTAATATGCGCGCCGACAGGTCCATAAGTATAATCTCAATTATCAATTTTACAACTAAATTTCGTATTCTTTATATTCTTATTCTTTTTTTTGTGTAACGTAATTTGAATATATATTTTTCGTATATATTTTCTATTTCCAAAAATCCACTTACTAACCAAAAAATAATACTACCAACAACAACAAGAACAATATCCAAGAATATATACAACTCTTTCTCTATTATTCTGTCCTGCACAAGAACTCAGCGCACCGACAACTGAAAACCTTCACAAAAACAAAAACTAAACCAAAAAACATAAGAAAACTCCTCACTTTTAGCTTTCATTACTAATACAAACACTAATTTGTTGTCTTTGACGAGAGAAACCCTTTGAATTTGCATTACTAAACTTGTTTGGCTGAACGCTTTGCAGGCTCAAGAACGTCATGGTTCGGCGGAGGATCGCATCCGGGGCTTGGAAACGAATTTGGATGAGAAGAGCGCCGAGGTGGTAAGACTGAATCAGCGTCTCAAAATGAATGAAGAGCACAATTTGCGGCTGTCCTCGACGGTGGACAAGCTGCTGTCCGAGTCCAATGAGCGATTGGAG